GGTGAGAAGCGCAACGTTGGGATATTCAGGTTGTACTCGTGGATGCGATCGAAACTTGAAGGATTTAGAGGTGGTGAATTTGTGTTGTAAACTGATTGGAAGAAGCTCGCAAACATCGACAGGGGAGCTAGCAGCGATCCCGTTGAACTCAACTATGTCCGGAATACGATTACCAGACCGTTGTGATTTCACGAACTTCCAAAACGCCGATGGGTGCTGCTTCAGATTCGCTTGCGTTCGCTGGACGTACTCCCCATAGCTAGACTTCAACAGTCCGTTGTATCTCGTTTCGATTAATCGGAGACTATTTTTGCTCTCGTTGGTTCTGGTACTGAAATAGCATTTGCGTGACTTACGCAATACGTTCCGCAAATTACGTAGCTCAGGGCTCCACCAGGGTTGCACTGAGGTTAACCCCATAACACGCCTCCGGAGAGGAACTCGCGCATAGAGTGTTTCATACAGATTGTCGTAGAATTGGTCAGCAATAGCGTTGACAGAAACACCATCCAGAATCTGTTGCCAATTGATAGTGGACAGTTCATTATTCAACGAGCCGAAATCGCAGTGCCTGAAATCCAATTCAGGTGGATACGAATCACAGTCCGATATCATGGGCGGATTGCAGTCGGCATCAAGTCGTAAGATGTATGGCTTATGATGATGATCGATATCCAGTAGAGGGACCGGAGGCTCAAGAAGGTTTACGTTATCCGGATCACTGATGAAGGCTAAGTCAAGCAGTCTTCCATTCAAATTAGACAGTGAATTGACTTGGATTAGCCCGCTAGCGAGCATCGGTTCCGTGAGAGCCAGTTCCTGTTCAGTGGACGCGTTTGATGGTAAATAACCGTTCACGTCCTCGTCGAAAGTCCAACTCAGAAACGGAAGGTTGTAGTCGCCCATTGCCAATATGATATCGGCGTTCGAAGATCTCTCAAAGATAGTCTGTTGTGCAGTAAAGGGTGTCCACGATGAAATTGCCACACACAAAATTGATTCGCAAAATTCGAGTTTTCATCCGATTGCCATCAAATTTTCAGGGATTGAGAAATAACTATTAAACTTCATTTTACCATTTTACTCGTATTTTATTTACAGTCCATACGCAAATGCCCGCACCTTGGCCTTAACCCCGGCCATAAGATTCTGCACAACCTGTGAATCAACCGTTTTTTGCATGTAAACCCATACTTTCTTCAGTTCCTCGACTGTCTTCACTACCTTAGGTCGTTTAAGAAGGTGCTGCTTCATAATCGCCCAGTACTTCTCGATGGGGCGGAGCTCCGGAGTGTTGGGAGGGTTGAACATTTTCGGCACGAAATTGACCTTATTGTCCGCATACCACTTCAGCACGTCCTTGGAGTAGTGGCATGAGGCCAAATCCGACCAGAAGATTGTTGGGACGTTGTGGGCCTTCAGGAGAGGAAGCAGCCGCTTCTGGAGGCACTCTTTTATGTACACCTGTCCGTTCATCGTGTCCTGGGTCACGAAAGGTGCACTCCGCTTCCCGCACGTGCAGATGGCTTGCCAAACCAGGAATTTCTTCGCAAATTTGGACATCTTCTGAGTGCGGACATGCTCCGGAACGCTGAACTTATCCTTGGCCGTGAAAAACAGGTTGCCGGGGATCTGTTTGAAGTCGGCCTTCACATATGTTTCGTCGTCCATGATGCAGCATTCAACTTTCGTCAGCATGTTGAGGTACAACTTCTTGGCACGGGTTTTGGCGGACTTGTTCTGCTTCTCGTCGCGATTAGGGGCCTTTTGTACCTTGAACGGTCGAAGCCCAGCCTTAGTTTTGGCCTTCTGGACAAAACTTCGGCTTAGGTGCAGCTTCTTAGCCACATCCCTAACGGAGGCGTTCGGATTTCGGTTGAAGGCCCCAACTACGCGGTTGTGATTTTTGGTGTTGTACGGAATACTTTTTACTTCACTTCTGGGCTTCCGATCGGTGGTCAACCGTTCCTCGAACCGCTTAATAACTCGCGACACCGTGGAATTCGCGATTCCCAACGTTTTAGCGATGGAACGATGCGAGAGATCCTTGTTCTCGTGATGAATGCGCAAGTTTTTATCACGCACGAGCTGTTCTTTCGACTCCATTTCCGCGAGTTTTGATCACAGGACTTTAAAACTTGCAGGATGTAAATAATGCACTATGAACTAAATCCACCCAAATTTTCATTAAATTCTACCCAACGGTTAAAAAGTTAGAGCAATTTCATAGTGTGGCAATTTCATCGTGGACACCCTTTAGTGTGAGACGTGTATAAATCCGGGCTGGAGAGAGGACGGAGATAGATTCCGGTGATGAATAGCGAGCGGTGCTGCAGAGTGATGCGCACAGCCACTTGCTCCAGACGGTCGCAATTCTCGAGCGAAACTGATGTGCATGAATGCTTGGATTTTATCGCAATAAGTACACCGCTGCCTCTGGAAAGCTGACTGGTAGCTCGATTACGGTCGCAGCGGAAGAAAAGATAATCTGACGATAGCTCACAGTCCTGAATGTCCGCCCGAAGCCAGGTTTCGGTGAGAACCAGAACGTCGTAGTCGCATGTTGAAAGCATTAAGCGGAGCTCGGTGGTCTTCGTTCGTAAAGATGGTGAAGATAGGATCAATTTGACTGCGAGGGTATGTGCATGCGCTGTTGCTGACATCGGTGGATAATGAGCTGGAAACCACGAAACTATCAGGAGGCGGATGGAACGTCGAATCGAAGTACTTGCCTGGCAACGTCGACTGGAAGACACTCTCACCATTTCCGACCGCAGGGTCGAGACGACTTTGATGGCAGGATACACCGGAGAGTGAAAGTGTGGAGGTTGGCGTTGTAGGCTCGACTAGGTCGGAGGGCTCGGGGGTTTCCAAGATGCTTTGTGGCGTGCGTTTCGGTGAGGTGAATTCCAAGATTGTGGAATCAGTAGAGCGTAGGGCAGCAAAGACGTTGGCATCGGTATGGCTAAAACACAGTGAACCATCAGGCACGGTAGGGTTCTTAACATATAGGTACTTGCCTGGAGTAGCGAGTTGGAATATCCCATCACCGATGTCAAAAGCAGGTCCGGGACGGCTAGGACAGGAACTGTAACTGCTAATTACGACTGCTTTGACTGGTTCCGGGACTTCCATGAGGCTTTCTTCAAAGGTCCAAGTGGACAAAGGGTCGAATGGACAAAAGGTCGAAATTGATAAACTCGTCAAATTGTTGGAGAAAATGGACAGCAAACTGTCAAATATTTGTCCTTCATCAAATGAGCAGTTCTTTGGAAATTTAAGAGACAAATAAATACAGGGTGGCCACCCAATCTACGAAACTAAATTCTTGGTGTCTTTGTAAATTGTGTAAATTGTCTTGGTTTTTTCCCGGTTGCCTAAAATATTTTTCCGGTCTCATATAAACTACTTAAAATGGTAAAAAAGCAATACCGGCATGATTGATTTCAGCAACTGAGCATTTTGAGACTATGGCATGACCAAACACTCCAGGGTAACTAACTCAGTAGCATTAGACCCCTGAACTGTGTCGCAGGGCCGGCATGTTACTGGGCATTCGTAGGGGCTTCGCGGGCAAAGTATGAAAAGCAAAGTATGTGGCGAGTATGCGAGGGTTTAAAATTTAGTACTCACTGCTGTAGATCTCCTACGGCGTCGCGATGTTGGCGTTGGCCCACACGGCTGCTCCTGCACTACCGTGTGGTCGGAAACTTGCGACGCGGGCTGCAAACAGCGTTTCGTTGCTGAATTGAGAGAATGGCGGATCTGGTGGCGTTCATCAGCCACATACGGCTCAGCAGGCGTGGCTGGCTCGTTTGGCTGGCAGGCGTCTTCCGTCGTTGACGACATCGGCTGACCGTGACATGGCCACCTTGGTCGAGCCGAGACGGGACCCTCCTTGGCAATTAAGGCCACCGGCCTGAGGGAATCGTCCCTGATGGACGATCGAGGATCATTAGCGATTAGGTTCGAAAGCCATCTTGACTTCCGAGCCGAGTCGTGTGAGACCGTTTTATTTACAGTACGAGGTCCTGCGAATTATTACATTTCAGCCAGGGAAATTACCGTCAGGATAATAAAAATCAATTACCTGAACGGAGGCAGGCTTTCCACCCCAATCCCCACAAGGGGGGGGGGGGTCTCGTATTCTATTTGCACTGCACTTCACACTCAACTGGTCTACACGGACGCCTGATTACTTCTGCTCATTCCAAACAACAACAACTCATACAGGCGAAAATCCAATTATAAATTTTCACATTCTAGCAAGATTTTAACTTCAAATAATGCGTATTTTAAAGATTTCAGATTTAAACAAAAAAAAAACATGGCTCTTGATTGGCTAGAATATAATGATAAGAGAATGCCAAATGAATGTATTTGCAAAACTATCCTAAGATGAGTTCATGGCTGTCTTGCATTCAATATTCCCAATTTGAAAAATTTTCTAAAATTGGTTTCATGTTGAAGTATTAGTAGACTCAAGGATATTGCTTTTTTTTTATAGATCTAAACCTGAACTTTTGGTGCTTTGGAAAAGTAACAACAAATCTACACTTAAAGAAATGTTCGAGACATCGGACTTAAAATATTAATTAACACTCCGAACACGATGCCTCCGCTAAAATATATGACGGTAAATTGGCAATGTTTGAAAAATCATTACCCACTAAAATCACCAACTACGATAAACCACAACTACGTGTAATCCCCCCTTAAGTTATGTGCGCAAGTTTTCAAACCGACAGACAGATGTCTCACGACGCAGCATAACTGATGATCATCCTCGTATTCCGTGCCATTTTCGCCAACCAACTTTTCCCAACAAATATTCCACCTCTGATAGCGCTTATCACCGCATAACCAGATACCTCAAACAGCCCCCAGCGACGAGACAAACCAGTGTGCAGTGTGTCGTAGTTCGGCACCGATCCCGACCGCCACATTGTCATAGAAACGCGCTGGGTGAGGCACCGCACACTTTAGTACTGCTTGACGAGTCGAAGCGAAGGGAGGCCCCCCTAGGAGTCAGTCGTCGAGATAGCTGTGCGCGCATACACAATTTTTCTACACATATTTTATATGTTATTTTTCATCGCCGTCGCGCATTCCCCTTTGCCGCAGCCGTTGCTGCCACCCGGTATTGGACCGTCGTACCGTTTTCCGTTCCGTTTAGTGTTTGTGTGTTGTGTCGTCCCGTCCCTGTCTGTCTGGTCGGAGAAGAGGGAAGCTAAGCGCTGCTGTTTGTTGTGCTATTTCGCTCCCTCCGGTTCTCGTCGTCGGTCGAGTGTATGGAACCGATTTCGTCATTTTCTATGTGTTACTACACATTGTTGATGTCGAATTTCGAGGCTTAATTGGGCTCATTTTCGGGGCTAGCAAGATTTTTTTCGAATTTCGGTATAGTATCCGCTGTTTGTGGACCGTTTTGTGCGGAGTAAAGCGTCCGAGGCCTCCCCCTCGCAGTGGAGGCTGTGTTGATTTTCCTCTGGCTACCTTGTGACGATGATGGTGGGTTGAGCAAGAGAGAGAGAAAGAGTGAGAACGCGAGAGGGAGGGGGATCTACTCGTAGTGCATAGTGTGTTGGAAAAGTGTGCTACTGATAGCAGGCTTATACCTTAGAGATCCGTGTTTTTGGGTGTGATAATCGCTTCATAGCCGCGCGCACAGTTTATTGCAGTTACAGTACCTTCCACTTGCAGCGAAGCAGATGTGAGAAGAATGCAATTGGCGTGCGGGACGACCAGTACGGAAGGTCTACCACAGTGGTGATATTATCGAGGCTTTGAAGCATAGAACCCACGATCGCGCATCGGCTGACGATCGAACAGCTATAGTTGGGTTGGGAAGACAAAAGCGATATTCGGGGTGTGCGTGCGTGTGTTTAGTGTACCATAGAGCATAGATCATAAAGTGAGTGTAAGTTGTGTGGCACCGAGAAGGAGCGAGAAAGAACCAGAGAGCATAAAACAGAAGAAGGGAAGAAAGAGTGCTGCTGCCTGGATCAAGTTTATAGAATGCGACTATAGAGCGATCGCATCGACGTTTCGTAAATGCAGAGACAATATTTTCTTCCAAAGTGGCCTCATACAGTGGGATCATTTTATTCCTCCCCTTGAGTCGGCTGGAGAGTTAATTAGTGAAATCTTGAAGTCAATTGCGTTGCGCGAATTGGCTGATTCATCCGTCCGATTCCAAGAGAAGTGAGAGCGAGGGAGTCATCGTGGTTGGCAATTCCAGCGCAGATGATCGCGTCGATGATCTGATCGTGAATATATGTCAGCTTGGGTGTATAATTGGTACGGCAAGCAATGCAGGTGGTGTCAGTGATTGTTGCTGCAGCGAATTATCGTCCATCGACTTTCAATCGCATACTTGAACTTGCCGTCGATGACGACGATGCTTGTACAAGCAGCTTGAGCTAGCAAAGATTAACACACAACACACAAACGAGAAGCACTTGAAAAAGTAAAGATCGAATCTTGGGTGTACCAGCTGAACGTGAACGAGCCAAGCTGTCAAAGGATTTCGAGTCGAGATTGCTGCCGAATGACGTCACGCTCCATGACTTCTTGTTTCGCTAGCTGCTACTAAAGAAACGAAGCAGAATAAAATAAAATAAACCCAGCACCACCGTGCCCCTGCCTGCTGTATTTATCCAACGACATATGAGCGGCGAGCATTTGGCGTTCGATGTGTGTCCAACAGCTTATCCGGAATCGAAAATTATGAGGAAAACTCACATGCTGATAAGCAACGTCCATGAGTTCAAAAAATGTTGGCAATATGTTACCGCAGTGTGATTCCAATACCGAAAATAACAATGTGATAGACGCGGATGTTGCAAATACTAACACCATCACTACCACCACTACCGCTGCTACTACCACAAACGCTATTAGTTCGACGGCCACCGCGACCAGTACCACCACTAATCGCGATCATACGGCAGCGATGTGCAAAATACCATCGACGATTGCTTCTGATGGCTGGCTGGGATCACCAACGACCACGACCACGACGACGATGATAGCATCTGCTGGCAGTGCCGATACGACAACTAGTAATAGCAACAACAACAACAATAACATCACCAACGAGTTGGACGTGATCAATAGCAAGGACCCGTACGCCGAACTCGAGAGATATCTGGAAAAGGTCAAGGTAAGAAAGGCCAGGTATTAGATCGGATCGGTTTGAGTGGTTACGGTTTTGCGACCCAATGAGGGGAGGAAATGTCATAATTAAGGATTGTATTCAGTGGCGTCGCCCTAACCTAAATCTACCTGTTCAACAACTCCCAAAACGTAAACAAACAAAACAATATTGGTTCCAAAGGATACAAATCAGTGAAACTAGAAGACCCTATGCCTTTTGAAATTGAATTGAATGTAAACATGACCCTAAATAACGTTTTCAAAGATGTTGAACAGCTTAAAAGTGAGGTTACGCGACGCCACTGATTGTATTCGATTACAGTTCGATACTGTAATGCTGGTTAATGATGGCGCCATAAAGTTATAAAGTCTCCAAAATGCACGTAGGGTGGAGAACGGTATCGCTTCCGCATCCCATCCCCCGATTCCCTGCTCGAAACATGGGGTAAACAATAATTTACAACGCTCATTTTTTGCAGTATGATGCCTCCACATCATGAGCATCTTTTGGATGGATTTCTCATTAATTTTCTTGAGAAAAACCCCTCTGCTTGAAATAGGGTTTCCTTAGGGGTTCTCCATCCTATTACGTCCCAGCGGGAAAAGTTTGCTGAAAATGTTGATAATAAAATCACTTCAGAATGAGTATGTACTGCTGCAGTACAGCGATTCTTAATCTTTCTTCCACCATGTAATCTTGAAGTTGCGTAATATCAAGGCCAGGGTGTGGAAGGATTAAAAGGTTCCCATGACTTTTCCCTATCATACGTTTGAAACGATACTTTACTTCAAATGCTACGATACACAGTCTATCACAACGCATAGTAAGCTTATTTAGACCCACTTTTTCAAAAACAAATTTAACAGCCTTGCTCCATAGAACACAATAAATCCATTGCCGTTTTTACGAACTTTAATCTCGTAGGAATTTGGAGTCAAGAAGCAGTGTCAATTTGTTTCTCTCCCATAGGCTATCGAACAGCTTACCAAAGTTGCTGTATGCTTTCACGACCACGACAATAGCTCCGGGTGATGGTTATCAACCATTCTGTTCTTTTATGTCTCAGCCAAGTCGCAGTACGTTTATATAAAGGCACTGACATCAGGTTTAATACTGGCGGGTTTCACCGAAGTTCACTGCCATATGAACAAAATCAGTAACAATCTAAAATACTTTTTATCAAACAATTTAGGGAAACCACTCTTCAACAACAACATATGTTTTATCTCGGGACCCGACCAAGCATTTAGTCACCGAAGAGTGTTCCTCGAAACGGACGCAAACAAGTCAGCTTGATAGGAGTTAGGCATAGAGATGTTTGGCAGAATTCGTAAGACGGGGGGTTCCGCTTAGGATAACAACTTTAAACGTTAAACTCAAATTGAAAGTGTATTGAATAATGTAAGTGACGGCTTAGATGGTACCTGGTCTTGAACGGTGCCTCTGAAACATGATTTATCGTCGTACTGGGACCATCATTTTTCCTACTTTAACTTTTTTCTTTCAAACAAATAATTGTATTTATATTCTACTAACTAGCAAACAGTAAACTTCCCTTCGGTTTATTATATGTTATCTTAAATGGGCGCCAAATTGTGGAATTACATTTGTATCTGAGTTGAGGAAATAGTCAAGTTAATTTGAGTTGCAATCGTACAGGGCACACTGGATTACTGGAGGAAGACTCGCATATAGCATATAGAATCATTTTGTTTTACATGCCTGAGTAGCTCAGTGGTTTTAATAGTTGAGCAATTATTGCTTGATAGTTAATGTAACAATAGATGCTTAATGTAATTCAAAAGTTATTATGACGCTTGATTAATTATTGGTTAAATACTATTAGCAATTATAATAGTAATCATTAATTCCTTATAATAAAAGTGGAATTTATGTACAAGGACTATTTGAGGAGGGGTACCAACTAGTCCAACTTGCCAACATCACGGTGACCAGCAAACCCCAATTACCAATTTCTCGTTTTTTCTCGGAATTATTTGAAATTTTCCAGGTTTAGCGATACTTATACATTTAAATTAAGCCGTAGAAAACACTAGGTTAAATGAGTTATTATTAGGGCAGCAGATTATTTTCTGGAGCCTACAGTGCTCAAACGGTTTCAAATCAGGTCCTGATTAGCCTCCCAAAATTTAAACTCATTTGGTAAGAAACTGACTTGGCACAAACTATTCGAAGTTTATATGGAAATTACTATGGGAAAACCAAACTTTTTGTTCATTGTCTTCTACCCATTTTCCATATTGCTTTTTCGAAAATTTCTATAACTTTTCTTACGGCAAATTTTCTAAGCTACAACTTTGCGGAATATCGTTTTTCTGCCAAATGTCCAATTAAATTGATATTATTTGTTTAAGAGATTGATAATCTTATGGCATGATCAAGCAGCTGTTCTGCGGGCAACACTGTATTCTGCAGTGTGACATAGTAGCCATGATATTTGTGCTCTATTCTTCGCGCCAGAAACACCAATGTTGCTTGCTGAACAGTTGAATGAGCATAATCATAAGACATCAGTGACTTGAATCATTGACAACTTTTGTTCCTTACATTTGATTGAAACGTGGTTTCCAACAAAGTTGTAGCTGAGAAAATTTGCTACAATCACTGCTATCATTTTCAAAAGCGTAGTGATGTGGTGAATTGTTAGATAAATATAAACAAAAACATAAGTTATGCCATAGTAATTTCCATATAAACTTAATGGTTTGTGCTAAGTCAGTTTCTTACTAAAGTAGTTCAAATTTTAGGAGGCTATCCAGAACCCAATTTGGAACCGTTTAAGCACTGTGGAGCAAAAATTTCAAATTTTGCATCAGTCTAATGTACAAGTTTCTAGATATTGAGAATTTTCGCAGTGCCAGAATTAAGGGAAAAAATAAATGATTTATCTCAAGTTCGTAATTAACTTTATGAAAGATAAGCATGAAGATCGCAGTCCCCGTAACTTCACAACAATTGTAGGAACTTTAGAAAAGCTCTGAGAAATGAAAGGGAATGCTGAGAATTTCAGTGAAGCTCCATAAACAAACTGCGGGAACATAAAGGAATTTAACACGCTGAAAATATAGGAAACTTTTTGGATGCTTTAAGAACCTTAAAGCGGTTCTTTTAGCACCCGAAAATTTTCAGAAACTTTTATGAAGTTCCTAGAATTTCAGAGAACTTCCCAGGTGTTAAGTGAACTGATTTTTTTTAAAGAAGTTCTAAGCACCTCAGAAAAGCTAGATCTAGATTTCTTTGGGGAATTCCAGATCTTAAGAGCAGTTCCCGTAACTTTAGCTTAGACTTTTGGAGCAGTTTTAAGATCTATAATAGTAAATTGAGAAAAATTCAGGATAGTTCCATGATTCCTGAAAAAAATCGAGAACCTTTAAGATGTTCCAAGAATTTCAAGCAAGCACAGAGACCTTCAGAGAATTTATGAAAACTTCAGAAATATTTCAGGAACTACACAGAAGTCCAGAGGATTCCAGGGAAATTTAAAGGTGTTTACGAAAATTCGATTTATTTCTGAGCAAAACCGAGATCTCCTTTAGAATTGGGAGCTTTAGAGAAGCTTAGAGAACATCATACAGATCAGAGAATCAAAGGGCAGTTCAAATAATTTCAAGGAAATTGTAGAAACTTTAAAGAAGTTTCGAGAAACTAAGGAGATTCTTGAAGAACTTCAGGTAAGCATAGATAAGTTCAGGAAAAATTAGTGAGCGTTTATAATGGTTATAATACTTAAGGAAAATTGTCGAAACTTCAAGACAAATCAATCAATTTCAGTAAAGTTGCGGTTTCTTAAAAAATACTGATGAATTCAGGGCAGTCTAGAGAACTTTAAAGAAATTCAGTCATCGTCAGGAAAGTTTAGGCTATTGAAGAAGTTTTAAATTAGTATCTTTAATTTAAGGGAAGATTCATGAACTTCAGAAAAATTCAGTGAAAATCATAGAACTATAGTCATTATTTCTTTCTAATTCCATGAAAATTGCGGGAGCACAAAAGTTCCAGAAATTAAGGAAAACTTAGAAAACTTCACTGAAGGTCAGTGGTCTTCAGAAACATTTCGAGAACTTCATAGAAATCTATGGAGCTTAAGGGGTGATCCGCGAACTTCAGGAATTTTTATGAACATTAACAAAATGCGGGAGCATTTGAAAGAAGTTTAGTTAGCTCCGAAAATCGGAGGAATTTCAGGGGGAGGTCAGTTCCATTAGTTTCAGAAAATTAGTGGGAAATTTAGAGCAGTTCCCATATTTTCAGATAACTTCAGAGAAGTTAAAAAGTTAATTGAGGTCTTCGCATAAGTTCAGAAGTTCACTAAAGCTTAAACATTTTTAGGACGTTTCAATTAAATTCAGCGCAGTACAACATGCTTCATGAGAACTGCAAAAACTTAAGAGAAGTTTTCAGAATTCCAAAAAAAAAACAAGGAACCTCAGTACTGTTCCGTTAACATTAGAGAAACCACATCAATTTTAAAGAAGTTTCAGCGAATTGTTGAACCTTTAGAGGAGATCGATAATCGTTAGAAAAATTTAGGAAACTTTAGGAAGTCAAATAAAGTTGAGGGGAGTTTAAGATTTTGTTGAAAAGTATTGTGAGCATCAGGCTAGTTTCTCAAACTACAAAAGAATTTCAAGGTAGTTTCATTAACTTCAGGAAAAATTTAGGAACTTTCAAGTAGTTCTGAAGACCTCATAATTGTCCATTCCATATTTAACGAAGATTTCCATTGAAATATTCCCCAAGATTTCGATGAAGCTATCCTCATAATTCAATTTTCTTTTAATTTTCCCTGGAATTACATTGAAATTCGTCACAATAAGAAGCTCTTTGGAAAGATTCTCCTCCTCCTGGGGCCTCCCTTAGCTCAGTCGGTAAAGGCGCAGCTACACAGCAAGACCATGCTGGAGGTGGCTTGGTTCGATTCTCGGTCCGGTCTAGGAATTTTTCGGTTTGGAAAATTTCTCGACTTCCCTGGGCATAGAAGTATG